CCCCTTCCTGCATACAGCTGTGTATCCGGATGGCGGTGTGGGTATGCGTGTTCTGCCATCCCCTAAGCACTACCCCACATCCAGAGCCCATACAGCAGAAAGCAGGGGTGAACCACACTCACCTCCCAAGCAAGAAAGCACATTAAGGAGGAGACTGAATACAGAATTCACTGCAGATAACACATTACCTATCCGCCTTCAAAAATCACAGGGGAAACATTCTTCCTTTTCAATGTCTTCCGTCCTTTTTTCAGTGATGCTTGCTGACAGTGAATTTCTGCAAAGAATACAGATGTGGTTGAAAGAAACACTACGTCAACTGAACTTCATTCATACTGTTTAGCACTGGACTCAAACCCAGCTCTAAAATCTGGATTTCCATCATCTCCCCTCCAGAAGCTTGGGATATTGACGTAAATGGATTTGGTTTTCAAGATTAATAAAGTTCAGGCCCCAGATCTGGAGAGGAATCTCTTTCAAATTGTTCAGCCCAACAGAGTTCATGGAGAGGATTGGGATCAGAGTCTGGATTCAGGTCCACTGCTGATACAAAGTATTTCAATCCTCTGATCTACTTGCTATTAACACAGCATGCAGTATAATGTTTTACTCAGCATGGGGAGGTGTGACTTTCTGAAGCTGCGTGCAGTAAACTGATTGCATTCAATAAAATACCAAGGAACATGCAGCCTTTTAGTCCAGACACTGCTGTAGGACAAACAGTGCATGCAACATTATTCTAATTCAAACCAGTGCATAACTATACTCATGCATACAACACAGTAGTGAAGACTCACTACACTATAACAGATTTAACAATAAGCACACAAACATACTATACGAACTGCAAATGCTGCACGTGTTGCAAAATAATTTTACCTGATTTATTTAATTTTTTTTAATAAACAGCCTGAGGGCACAAAGGGCCTGGCCACACAAGTTTAAGAGTGGCCCCTTTCTGTGACGATGATGGTAGGTTTCAGAAGAACTTAGGACCACTTGTCACCTGCAGTTAGCTCAGTAGTCTCGTCTGCTAGTCCTCCTGTTCCTCCACTACGTTGAAAATGAAATGCTTCTGTTCATCTTGCTGCCCAAGAAAGTGATCTTGACTTCACAAGTGTTACAAGAATTATCACTGGATAATTAATGATGCAATATGTGGATTCATCTGGCTTTTATTTATCATTACGCATAACTGCTGACCCTTGGCTTGCACATCCATTTATTTGCTCAAGAATTCACATGACATTACATTCATTACAGAAAAGAATAAATACAGTACAGCTGATTAATACTACTCTAGTTCTCCTACTTCTCCTGTAGTGAAAGAATCTTGAGACTTCAAATGTGTAATGATAAAGGGGGAAATCTGTTATAAATTGTACATAGCTGTTCATTTTTCCTCAAATCAGATCCAAAATTAGGTGAACAATACCTTTTGTCAGGCACTACCAAGATTGTTAAGATCTGATGAGGAGTATGACAAGTGAAAGTGCTTGCTCACTGCTTTCACATGAAGATAAATGTATTGCTGCAAGTTTTAGCATTTTAATTTACAGAAAGTGAAAAAGCAAACCAAAAACAAGTTATAGGCCAGGCACAACAGCGTTAGATGGCACAGGTTGATTTTTCGCATGACTGACAAGGAAGGAAAGACCACTGGCCAAACTGTTTACACTGGGGCTTCAATCCAGTTCCTGGAGTTGAAGTCACAGTTCTTCATTTGTCAGACTGGTCCATACATACACAATGATGTATATGCTTTCCTAATGTATTAATTATAACAGCTGTGATTTTCAAAGCCATGCAAAATATCTGGACAACTTTTCCTATTTACTTATTTAAAATGGGTGTCTAATTCACTAGATAACTGGAAATCTTAGCCCAATTTTTAAGTAAATTCTAAACGTTCACCCAAGAATTTAAGTGCCCTTTACAAGCACTAATTCATTTAATCACAGTTGTCTGTGACTGGGGCTAATGGTTTCTCCAAAATAACGCCCAAAGTTTGCAGCAGAGCCAGAGACTACACATCTCTTCCTCCCATGACTGAGCCGCAGAAGATTTTTCTTCTAGGAATTGGTGCTGCTCATCTTACTTTGGGGTTTTGTTCCTTCTCAAGGCTAGCAGAAAGGTAAAATGACATATGCAATAACTGGAAGACAGAAATAAGGCAAATGTAGGATTCCTAATGGCTGACTTCCTATGTTTGAGCTCTGCAATGTGGAGAAAAAGCAAAGGTAAGAAAGCACACAGGGACAGGGATGTGATGCAGCGCTAGAAAGGAAGTAAGTGCTTTGTATGTGTCAAGCACAATGTGTGTTTATTAGGAAGAGATGCATCCAGACTTCCACACTAAATCAGGTAACTTGGCTCATCTTTTCTGTTTTTAATCATACTTAGTAAATACCACATAATACCAGAAGTCATACTGGCCCAAGACAGATCACTTTCTCCTATGAGTGGTTTTGCAAGGTCTTGGAAAAAATAACAGATTAAACAGGTGTGAAGCATGCAGTAGGATCAATTTATAAAGTTACGGGTTAGAAAGGGATCAGAGCTGCCTTGACATGTGTTTCTCCAGTTGTGGGAAACAGCACAGAGAAGTTTACACAGCCCCACGCACAGAGAAGCTTTACTGCAGCTGTGGTTCTAGGCTCCTCAGCTGGAGCAGGCACAGTTAACATTACTAGATCTACAGACCCAAGTCTCAGTCACACTCCATCACCAGCCATGACTTTACATGGACAGTTTTCTTACTGGTGGCAGGCTGCAGAGAAATCAGCAATGGACAAACCTAAATATAAATGTATGACATAGTAGACATAAATGTAACTTTCAGGTGCTTTTATTTTATTTGTAATCAAAGGGCTGCACAGACCATTTGGTGCCGGGTGTCTTCTTAAAAGGGAATTGGTGCCTGCAATATCAGAACATCAGCCTTATTAATTCAGTGCATACCTTAAGGCCTATGTTACGTTTCTTAATGCACACAAGCAAGTTAATCAGCAAATGTGAATTTTAATAATTCCTTAATAACATTTTCTTAATAAAGAATAGGCTTGTATGTGAAATGCTACCTGTCAAAACGTGTGGGTACTTAAAACTTAAGACATGAGGATTTTTAGAGCCAGATAAGTTAATGAAATGCAGATTAAGATGCTAGATCCTGATTCAAAAATCACCTAAAGACTCCTACTTTCAAAAAAGTTTTAGATCAGGAACTTCATGATCAGAATGATGAGTCTTCATTGGTTTATGATAAACAGTAAATTGCAAATGCAAAATAACAAGCAAAACAGGAAGATACAGCTTCCTCCTTGAAAAAATATCATGTGCTCTAGATGTGGTCAGAGGAAGATGAGCCAAGAAAATGCCCACCAAGTAGTCAAATATGCTATAACTTCAACAGAAAAAAAATATAATCCCAAGTCTGTTTCACAGTAAAAGCCAAGATTCACTTTTGTATTGAAAGAACTATATATAGATAAAGATACTTTGTTTGTGCAGACCATATTGCTTTAGATCAGCAAACATGCCTAAGTATTAATGGCAGAATTGTGCCTTTAAGCTAGGTAATAATAAAAGTGTAACACTGTTCCAATGAAGACATGTAGTGAAAGAGACCGTGCAGAAAAATAAAGCCAAATTCAGTTCACCTTCAGGTATAGAATACAAAAACAATAACTTATCACAACTGTTTCATAAGCCAGTATGATTTAACTTCCAAGTGGTAAACACAAATGTGCCACCTGCATTAGAACTACAAGCCTTCTTAGACATTTCAAAAGGTCACGGCTGCAAATACCACAGAAATGTACACGACGAGTTTAGAAAAGTACAGTAGTAAAATTCTCAGATGTCTCCATAGTCCACATTGCCTAAAAACCTGAATTCTGTTATTTACGTGTCCTTGTGCTTTTACACCCCTCATCAATGCAGTATCTTGACAAATTAATGATTAACATTTTGTGAGGATTTACGGGCTTCAATTCAAAGCTGCTATATGCAAGTGTAACTCAAAGTCAATGCATATAGACCATACAATCGGCATCCAAGTGTAAAAATAAGTAATTTTTCTCATTTAATAAAAGAAATACTTAGCGCTCTATGGTATGACAAATGGTTTATGATAGACCATCAGCAACTGTAAGACACCTCAAAGAGGTGAAATGCAAGCACTGTATCCAGTCATACCACTTTATGTGTGTTCCTTTGGAAAGGATTACTTCACTATTTCAATGACAGAATTTGAAAACATGGTCTCCAGTTGCTAGAAGATGTCAGTGCTACAGTCCTCTGAAATCAATGAGCTCAGCTTTTGAAGTGAAAATGCTTGCAAAACACTATTTCCTATAGTTCTCAGAAAATACTCTTCTAGAAAAAAAATTATTCATGGACACTTCTTAGGACAGTGCCATACTTATGTAGCTCTTGCAAAAATACTGTGACAGGTTTAAAAGAATTGTAATAAGAACCTAATACAAGCTTCTTACATACAGTCTGGAAAAGACAACATTCTTTCATTTGTCTCTGGTACCATTGTGGTGATATATTTTCATTTATATCCTTTGTACAGCCAGTTTGTAATCTGACATCTTTTCATAAGAAATTACTACAAAAACCTATAAAAATGCTGCTCCAAACCAGCTCCCTAGATTAATTTTGACAAATTGTAGATTTTAAGCATATTGTAATTCTCAGTGGCTTAAATGTCATGAGATTGGTACCAAGATAAGTGCCTTATTTGGCATAACAAACAGGCAAAAATTTTCTAAAGCAATTCCTGGCACATCAAAAGACCATGAAGAAAATATTCCTTAAGCCGTGTTGGAGCTATATTAATACCAGCTGAGAGATTTACCTTAAAAGCAAAATTAAAAGGTGGACATTGGTATCCAAAAATTATTTACTACGTGCTTTGCCATCTTCTTGGCCCTTCCACTGTGGGGACACTATTCAGAAGTTACTTTAAAAAACATACTTTCACAAAGTCTTACCTTGCAATCTGTGTTCTAGTACTGAAGTCAAGAGATCTCATTGAGCGTAAGACTTCTATGCACCCCAAGTACTGTAAGGAAAAAGAAACAGTTGGAAAAGATATTATAATTTTTCTTGAGTTCTGGGAGAAAATGCAGCTAATCATTAAAAGGCATTGTACAATTCTTATTGTTACATTTGATTTATCCTATGTGTCAGGTAGGTTTTTATGATTATGTTCTTGTATGTCACAGATTTATTCCATAAACATTTTATTTCATTTAAGACTCAAGTTTGGTTCAACATATCTTTTTACATTTAATCTAATCACTGTAATACACCTAGTTCATAATGTGTTGATGTACTTTTTAATTTTCCTCTATCTTAATTGTTCCATTTTAGATATAAAGCTAAACAAAGTAAAAAATAGTATTATTGAAAAAGGAAGTGTGGTAAAGCAAATTCATCTAGCACTGATCAGCATGAAAATCTTATTTAAGAGGGAGAGAACTAAGCCTCATTAGAACAAAAAAGGTAAATTATAGCAGGGCGAGATGAAAAAAGCACCAGCAATCCAAAGAGGATTCTTTAATAACCAGCTCGGGGATAGATGGGATTTAGTATTTTCATTAATGACACTACTATAAAGATATAGGAAAATGCTAACAAAATATACTAATAACCCATGCTGGGAGATGGCTTCAACAGGGTCATTCAAGAGAGGAATGACATGAAGATTAGCTAGTAACTAGGAAAAGACTGGACTTATTGACCCAGATTTCTGCCCTGCATCTCTATGAAAAAAAGGGAGTACCATTAGAAAATATGTTAAAATATAACAGTATCTATCACAGGATTGAGAAAAACTCAGGTGAATCTTCTAGACTTGCTTCCAAAAGTGGGCATAATTTACAGGTGCTAAAGCCTACATGCAGCTACAGCTCTTGTCAGATAATTGGATAGTGGCTTTGTACAAACTGACTCATGACTGGCATATCCCATGGCAGTATCTTGCATGTAGGTTAAGTATTCAACCACATACCTGACTTTTGAAAGTCAGGGGAAACAGGGATGAGTCTTTACATAATGAGCCCGATAATGCTATTCTAGTATTGTGGGTTTATATCAGCTTTTATATCAGTCTTATATCAGCTATTATATCTATTCTCAGATACAGATACATAATGCAATCTATTTGGGTATGAAACTGGTGCAAAAAATAAGTGAGGCCACCATTTTGTGTCTGTTTGGGGATTTTATTTATACTGAAAAAATGGTCTTTTAATTAGAGAATTATTACACCAGTAACTGTACTATCTAGAGTTTCAGCAATGCTTTTTCTATAGAAACGTGCATGTGACAAACTGTTTACAAGCCAAGGGAGTATCTAGTTTGTTTTCACATGTCCATGATTTTTTAATTTATTGCTATCAAATGTTTTGAAGTCATTACAACACTGAACAAAATAAACTAGAATATCAGGTGACTCCTATTCATTAAATTGCTGAAACCTGGATTATAATAGCCCACAGTTTCTGGGAAGGGTTGATTTCCTAGAATTTTTTAGAAATCTCCTGCAATCTTACATATTTGAAAAGCTTGTAAAATCCTCACGGAAAATGACTTCTCTATAGAGATCCTGGCATATGAAGCTTTCAAGCTAAGGGTCATACTCTCAAGCTGTTTAGATTATCATCACTCCTCTGTCACTGCAAAATCAGGTAACCCTCATATCTTATTAGAAGTAGATTCCTATTTTACATATACTTCTGCCTGAGTACTTAAAGCATCTAGAACAAGATTTTCATGCTCTGATGCAGGAAGTTGAGCCATTAACTCTATTTTTAAGTATCTCAGAGGGTGATTTGATTTGCTTGGGGATGAAGTTCGTTAAACATCAATTGAGATAATCAGCTGAAGTCAGTTAACTTATGCCAATATACAGCAATGAAAGATGTTTTGCTGTACTCTTTTTGTGTCATTTTGTTTTAGTTGTAGGATGCTTTTATAGATAAATTTTTCCAAATATTTATTTCATATGAGATATTTTTATAATTAAATAAGCTGTAAATGGTGTAACTGTTCAAAGGTACCCCTGTGATTTTTTGTTACTGGAATACTTGGTTTTCATTATTTCATCAACCTGTTCATTTAGACCACTCAATACTAAAACACTCTTGGATTGCACTTGTTCTTTCCCCTATCCCCCCCTGCCACAACTCTTTTAAAGCGAAGTAGTTGTACAAGTTTGAGAACCAGATCCAACATTTTAGAAGCAAACTCTGGAAGGTAGTTTGACAAGTACATGCAGGCGTGCAAATAAATACACAAACACATGTGCACACAAGTCACTGTCAAAATAAACACACAAATAATTAGACAAATACCCATAAACATACTTAGAATGCGTGCATTTAGACTCCTTTCAGTCATACTACCTGATCTGCATCAACAAAAGTAGAGACAAAACCAGACTGAAGGAAGGTCAGATGGAAAAATTACCCTGTACTTGTTTTATGTATAGCACAGAGACAGTTGAACACAACATAGTAAGGTTTGCAGTATTCCTGACTGATCAAGGCAAAGATGGCAACTGATTTTCTGGGATAAAAGATGTGAACACTTAATCACCACGGCATGTTTGCAAGTAATGAAATTACTATAAAAACTGACATTCAAAAGGTCCAAAGGCCAACTACAGGGACATATAACTCACCTACTTCTATGCTTCAATTATTCCCCAAGACCAACATTGCTCTCTAAAAATATCCATTTGAAGTACATCCTGACAAGGATCCACAGAAAGGAGACATACAACCAAGATAGCAAGTAAATAAATTATTCATTTATTTCAACAAATAAATATCCTGATTAAAAAGAAATGCTATCTTTTGCTTTAGGCATTCTATGAAACATTTAAAATATAGTTATAAAACAGTCTACTTCTAAAAAAGCTCCTCTTCACCCAGCACTTAATGTATATTCTAACCAATCATCTACTGCGCGCTGTGATACTTATGAGCTCCCACTACCATCCTCCCTCTCATTGCTCAGGAAACAAAATATACCGAGGTGCAGCCCACCTTGAAGTAGGAAGATTTGGGACTACCAGTTCCAAGCTCTCTCAGGTAACATTCTGCCTTCTGTCTACTTTCTGATATTTGAATGAGTTTCCAGCTTGTATACCTTCATTGAATGGTACTATGCCCCAAGGAAAAAGTCTTTCATATGAATGAATACCTTCCCATTCAGAAGTTTTAGATTCATAACTAGCACTTTGCATGCTAAACAGCACCTTGCAGGAAGCTCATATAAATCCAAAAGCAGAGTGCCACATACTCCTGGGACCATACCTCTGTCATTGCATGAGGTTCCAACATCCTTATTAGTTACAATTCTTCCAGGTATATGTAAGAGGTGGCCATATATATATCCCAAGTTTCTGGTTCATCCCATAGATGAAGATTTTTCCATATTCCCTAAAGTACCTCTGTCTTCTCTGTGACTCAGTCAGAAAATTCTGGTTTAACAACTAAAAATTTTTACTGTACCCTGTGCAAGAAAGGGTACTGAGTTCTCCCAACATTTGTCAGAAACAGACAGCTCAACACATAAGCGCTGAGTGCATTCATGTGCTTGGAGTGAAGAGAAAAGGCAAATGAGGGTAGTCACTGTCAGATGTGCCTTTTTGCTCCATGAACATGAACAACCTTGTTCAGTGTTTCCTAACAAGCTCTTCAAAACACCAAGTTACTGGAAGAAATCTTCCATTGTTTGACTCAGAAGCTAGTAGTAACAACAGCAACAAATGTTTTTATAAAAATGTAGCAAGATGTAGCCCCATACAGCACTGCAGCAGTCCAGCTTGGAGTGACAAATGCTTGAATGCTTGAACGCTTGAGTGGCATATGCATGTCTAACAGCAGATGAGTGTCTGCCCTGAACACGGGTAGCAAGAATATCTGCCCATCACCTACTCTCAAACAAAATAAGGACTCCTAATCTCTGAGTCTGAACTACTGGAGTATCATTAGCTCACCAAAACTGCATGGGTATTCTTAGTACATTAAGCTAGACTGGTTTTAATCTGTGTAACTGGATGACCATCATCAAATCTGAGTAGTTCACAACATTGCAGATTGTACCTGCAACACACATAGCCTCGTGCAAGTTACGTAAGAGATAACATGGTTACATCAGCAAACAGACATGCACTTGCGTTGTTAGCCAAAAATTAGCTAGTGCCTTCAAATATTGATGTATCTGAAATCTGCACTAACGTTACATAGCTGCTGATAATAGCCTAGGAGGCTCGAAAAATAGATTCAGATTCACGGGGTTTTGGGTGGTGTATGTAGATTTAATTTTTGAAAATAGAAATCTCTGAAGCATATTATAAGATACCCTGTAATAAACTGGTCAATTCACTGAAAGTTTCTCACCCACAGGCTTAGGCTGTGCTTTTACTTGGCAAGTGAAAAAGTGAGCATCTTTTTACTTGCTGCATCTGTTCCTCATGTGTATCTCAAGTCATATGCCTATATTTCATTATTCCTTTTTTTGGGGGGGGGGGGGGTATTTCTTTGTTTGCTTTTGTGGGGTTGTTGTTGTTTTGCATTTTATTCTTGTTAGCCAAAGAGCTAGTCCAGAATTAGTGTATACCCTTAAAGTAAATGAGTAGTTAGTATGAACTGGCTAATGCTACTTAATTCCAGTTGAGGACTCCCTTATTTAAAAATAAGAGCTTTTATTTCAAATTCAGATTATATTGCTTCTATTGCAACACGCATTTATTTATGCATCAAAATGACAGTTCCTTCTAACTTCAGATATCATCATTAACAGCCAAAGGGGCTTCTGAAATGAGCACTGAGGGTTCCATAATGCTCCACAATACTTACAACTTATTTTCAAGTTTGCCATCTACCATAAATCATATTAAGATTCAAGCCCAGATACACCCTACCAAGCAGGGCATAATACAAAAATAGTAACAGCCCAGGACTTGACTTCAAGATAGTAAGTTTGTCCACAAGTAACTGTGGACACTGTCAGGATTTTTAATATCCATACTGATGCACGAAAAGGAGA